GCACATTATCCTCATTTGCATTAATCATGTTTGTTGGCACCTTAGATCCCTCAAATTAAGGAGGAATATTCCTCAATTAGCCAAATTAATGGTTATGATTTGATTATAATATTATCATGGATTTTTTTATGTTATTACTAGTGCATGTATTAGGTCTATTAGTACTTGTTAATTGAATCACTGAGCTAATTTTCTTATTCTCCCTCATATTGTCATGTTGCTCATCTTTTTTTTTTTTCATTAGGAAGTCAAACAAGTTCTCTCTCTTTCCCCAAGATACTATAGCTTGATCCTTTCAACTCCCTACATCTCTTTATGTCTCTACTTGAGAAGCTTATAAGGTTAGGGAATTAATTCCCAATGCAAGGGGAAGAACGAAGTAGTAGAAAACAAGAAGATATTTCTAATTGGGAAGATCTAAAAGGACAAGAAAAGAAGATCAAGGAAGAATAAATAAAAGAAAGATAAAGGGAGCCATCCGTAAGAAAATGACAAGCTCACCATTGGTTGGCAAGTCTAGTGCAATTTATAAATGGCCAGATGCCTTGGTCTTCATCCCAGGTTTCTTGAAATTCTGGTATTTACTAATTGGGTTTTTATGAAACCCTGCTATTACAACTTGGATTTGTTTTGAAACTCTAACTTTACATTATCTAGGCAGTAATACCAGGTTTTTAAGAGAAATATTAGTGACACTACTTGAGTTTCAAGAAATTATGGCATAAGGTCTTGGTTAGTTGATCTCGTCTTCAAAATAGATTAAATTATTATCCTTGTTTGTAAAGTTTAAAACTATTATTTTTCGCTTAAAGATAAAATTATTAGGGGTTTATATCATTATCTTTAGGGGACATTTGATAAATTTTCTTTCAATTATTTATTTATTTATTTATTTATCTCAAATAAGGACACTTGTATAATTGCACCTAAGGACCTATTTCTATAAAAAGAAATCTAGGGCTTAAATATGATTTATTGAATGATTTTTGGGCTATTTTCTCTTTGATTGCCCTCATAGTATTTCTGTTGTTATTCTTCTCCTCCTCTATAAGCACCGACATGGACACTGAAAAAAAAAATGACATAGACACTGAAAAAAAAATGACATGGACACTGGGCATGGACATGGACATGATATAATACAAATATGACAATATTATACAATTATAAAATGTAGGACATGCCACTAGGAATATAATATTATCTTTTATAAATTATTAATGTAAAATATGTAATTGAAATACTTTATATTGGTATTTTCTATTAAAAGCATTACGCAATTTCATTAGTGATTATTTATGAAACAAAAACTAAGATTAGTATCTCTCTAAAGAATAAAATCCTAGCAGCTTGTTATTAAAAATAAGCATCAACATCTCTATTTGAACCTGTTGGGCATGCATTGAGTGTGTTGAAGTTGTGTTTATGTTCGACACAATTTTGAAACAGACATGAAAAGTATCTGAAGTATCCATGCTACATATCTTTCTCAATGCTCTCTCTTTTACATTGTCATCTTTTCTTCTCATTCTGCTCTATCTTCTGTCTCCCACCACACAATTTCTCTCTCAATTCTCTTCCTCCCCCCTCTCCTGCATTCATTGCTATCTCATAAAGAAGTCATGATTTATTCTTTCCCACACTGCAAAAATAAATAGCTTGGGAATTTACAAAAAAGTGTTGATTATGATCCTATTAGGAAAATATAGATCAATGTGAAATGAAATGGAAGGGAAGGAGGTAGATCAAAGTTAGCATCGTTGGAAGTTGTGCAAAAAATATTTTTGTGAACTTGAATGGGAAGCACATGCACAAATTGACAAGAATGATTGGAGAAGAATCCACAATGCAAACCCGGAATTAATTATGATAGGGTTCAGAATTATGATATTATTGTTCTAGCCTTTTATCGCATTATATGACATTTTTTATTTCTTTTTTGCTTGTTACTTTTTTTTTGTTGGTTCTCTCTTTTTCTCTCTCTCTCTCTCTCTCCCTTTTGGCCTTATCAAATAGAGTTGACCAAGTTTGTCTCGAGCCCAGATATCCTGATAGTTATTCACACTATAAGTTTACTTTATTATGTAGAAATTAGAATTATGATATGTGTTAAATTCAAAGAATTGGAGAGGGAAAAAGATTAATTTTGTCGCACAAAATTATCCCTATTTATAGATCTATTCAAGATATTTTAATAAAGATATAAATAATTACAGAATTATGCATAATTGTCCTAATATAATTCTTCCTAAATTAGTCACCTGAATATGGAAGGAGATCGGCATAATCCAGGTAAGCCTCCCACGGATCCCCATCAAGAGCTAAGGGATGGCTGGGATGTTATTTGACCCCCCCTCAAGCTGGGGAATACGGATCTGTCATTCCCAGCTTGGTAATCAATCCCAGAAAGGTAGAGTTATCAAGTCCATTGGTGCACCATAAAGTCCTCCATTTGGTCAAAACTTTGGGAGGAATTAGCTTCAAACATTACGACGACAAATGATAGCAATGAATGCTATATCAATCAAGCCTGTAAGGTGCAGGGAAGCAATGAAGGCTGCGTTGAACAATAGCTCTAAAGATATCGAAAATGGTAATAAAAGCTGGTGGTGGGATAGTAGGGAAAGTGGATTAATTATCCTTCGGGTTTTTCTCTCGGTTCTCCAGCAATGAAGGCACGACAGTAGAAAAGAAAGAAAAAATTTAGGCTTGCGACAAGCTTTAGGTACAATAACAGAAAAAATAAGTCTCAAGTGGCTCAACACTCGACAGATGTCCTCCTTCCCGGATCGTCCGATGTAGCCAACCTTTGAACCAATGCAAATCAATCATTTGACTCCACCTGAACAAACTCCTGTTATATATGTCTCGTACAGGCGCATGCAATGCCTCTAATCCCGCTGATCTGATATGAGGAAGGAGTGCAAGTCTCGCACTCTTGCTTGTTTTGGCCCTAGACTCGCACAAGAGGGAACTCTTGGCTCTTTCTAGATACATGAAGGAGGCTTTCTCTCAGCTCCGCTCAGTTTCACCTCAAACGGACGCAAGAGGAGCCCTTCCGCTCGATCTCTCCTCGACGCATGAGAGACTCTCGTTTTCGCTTCTTCTAGACGCATGCACGAAACATAGGGCACAAGAGGTTTAGACCGCTCGACTCTCATTCGATCTCCAACGACAATTAAGGTGATGCAGAGGCAGAGGCAGCAGCCCTAGCGGCTGATTTGGTGGGGTCCAACAAGGAACTAAATACTTATGTTAGGAGGGGATTAATTAGGAAAGAAATTCTTTAATTTAAATTTAAATAAGAGAGGGAATTAATTAAGGTAGGAAGGCTGAATTAGGAGGGAAATATATTAGGAAAGGGGGGCTAAGGAGTTGGGCGAGCTTATTTAAGGGGAAGTTTGTTTTATGCATAATTTGAGTAGTGTTTGTTGTAATTTTCTTTTGTGAGGGCTTCCTAGCGACATCTAGGTGTAGAGGGAGAGATGATCTACCTCTCTTGTGTGTAGATCATTGTATCTTACTTTCGTACTGGAGCATTTATATAAAAATCATTCTTTGTTTTCTCAACTTATTGCTGTTCTTGTTGTATTCTCTTGCTATTTTCACCGTAAGGCGTATCAGAAGGTTGCTTGCTCCTCTTCGCTTCCTTCGATTCGTATATCCCAACAATTCCGACAATGATGGCTGGTGCAAGGACTAGTATTCCTTAGAATTCTGGCAATGAAAGGAATCTTGCTCTTATACCATGTTAAATTCAGAGAATTTGAGAGGGAAAAAGCTTAATTTATTACACAAAATTATCCCTATTTATAGATCTATACAAGATATCTTAATAGTGCATAAGGAAATATATTAGGAAAGGGGTCTAAGGAGGCGGGGGAGCTTATTTAAGGGGAAGTTTAGGGTTATTTTGTTTTATGCATAATTTGAGTTGTGTTTGCTGTGTTTTTATTTTTTGGCTAGGGCTTCCTAGCGACGTCTAGGTTTAGCGGGAGAGACGATCTACCTCTCTTATGTGTAGATCATTGTATCTTACTTTCATATTGGAGCATTAATACATAAATCAATTTAGTACTGTTCTTGCTATATTCTCTCGCTGTTTTCACCTTTAGGCTTATCAGAAGGCTGCTTGCTCCTCTTCGCTTCCTTCGATTTGTATATCCCAGTGATTCCGACAATGAAGGCCGGTGGAAGGACGAGTATTCCTCAAATTCCGTCAATGAAGGCCAGTGGTGGGAATCTGACTCTGATACTATGTTAAATTCAGAGAATTGGAGAGGGAAAAAGCTTAATTTATTGCACAAAATTATCCTTATTTATAGATCTATACACAATATCTTAATAAAGAAACAAATAATTACATAATCATGTATAATTGCTCTAATATAATTCTTCCTAAATCAGCTACCTGAATATGGAAGGAGATCGACATGATCCAGGTGTGACTTCCACGGATCCCCATCCTGGCCATAGGATCAAGAGCCAAGGGACGGCTAGAATGGTTGAGACAGTATTTAACAATATGTTAGTATTTTTCTCCCAGCGAAGTGCTCAATGGTTTAAAAATAATATGTTAGAGAGTCGAAAGATGTGAATAAAGCCTTTTTATAATTTATTCAACCGTTAAAAGGGATTAAGTTATCATTCACTGTTGAGTGTGAAGAATGTTAATAAGAATAACCCAGTCGTTACTCTTTAAAGTCATCTATGCATGTAATATAAAACCACGCAAATTAGGCCAAGTTGATTGCTTAAAATAATACTGTAGCGTACAATGATAGCATTCAGTGAATACTTATATTAATATTGCAACACATGTACTAAGTCTTTTTTCCTTGATACCTTATGCTCTAGTATATGATGGAACATTTTATACCTGATTAGAATTTTTTTTTATGGTTGGCGCTGTGTTGTTCATAAATGAATCAATGCAAGTTTGTGGATAGTTGTAGATTGTATGTTCTAGCAACCAGTGTTTAGCTTCTTTGTTTTTTCAGGTCTACAATGACACTCAAGATCTTCAAGGGAATGCTGAAATTGGTAAAGATTTGCAGAAATGTCCAGTTGAGTTACAAGCAGAGGTAATTCATTGATATGATTTGATAAATTGAAACTGATTTCTTTGGCGCTCAGCTCTATGGAAGATTCATGGACCTATAAATAGGCTCCTAACCCTTGGGCATACGGCATTGTCTAAGAAATTATTCCATATCTCATTCTTTCTTCAAAAGATTTTATCCTTTACCCCACAATTTATTGAGAATACATTCTATTGTAATGGACCCTTTATTTCTTTTGAATTTAGCAAAAAAGTTGTTTCATAGAAGGCTCATTTCATTAATATGTTATAATTTCAGCTTGACAAGATGGAGCAAGATCTTGAGGAGTTTATTAATATCATCTTTTCCAAGTGCAGGTATGATGTCTGTTTTCATGATCTTTAAAAAATTGTTGCTTCATCCAAAGTTTTGATGTCTTCAGTATATAGTTACCCTTCTCATTAACATCATTTAGTTATGTGGAAAATTCATCTTGTAAATGTAATAATGATAACAGCTTAATTGGCCTTTAGATGCTAAAATCAATGAAGAGTTTGAAAGTCAATTCTGACAAGTATTTCATGAAATGATCGATTAATAAATAAATGGGGTGTAGATCTTGAGAATAGTTTAATTGCAATAAGTTTTTTTTCTTTCTTTTTTAGTTAAAATAGAACCATTTTATAGTTGAGAAGCCTATTTTTCAGCCACATTATCTTAGGATGTCCTTGGGTCCAAGGTTTCTGATGTAGGTCTTACATTTGATGCATAAAGTTTTGTAACTATCAAGAAAATTGGCAATAAATATGATATTAATCCCATAGAACTATTGACTACTTTTAATTAAAATCGAAAAAAATAATAGAAATTGATTCAAATGAAATTCAATGACATGCTGCTAAAAATTAATGGCAATATTTACAAACTTTGAAAGTCTCATACACGATTGAAATTCAAAAAACCAACATAAGTCCAAATTGTAGAAACTCTGACTATAAAATATATTATTAATCCACTAATGAAAACATATAAGAAGAAGAATGAGGAGAAGAAAATGGAAATGAAGGAATCAAATCATCAGAAAAATAAGTCTTAAATTTCTCCAAGGAGATGACTTCTCTTAGAATATTTGTAATTTCATGAATGATTAATGATCACACTCTTGGACAATGTTGTGAGAAGAAGAAATGTCTCCGCATCCACAGGTATTTTATCATGCCGAAGAATTAAATTGCATAATTGAAAATTTTCATATTTATAAATTTGAAAATAATAATAATTTTTCTAATAAACAACTAACAAAATTAATGACATACTTGTAGGCTCAGAAAATTCACACCCCGGCCTACCCTCTTTTGTCTTGCTTTCGTTGTTGGGGGGAGTTTTAACAGATTAAGTTTCGAGGTAAATTTTTAGAAGGCAGATTGGGTTTGAAGATAAGACACAATCCAAATATTTTGCTCTCATTTTGTGAGAACTTTATGATCTGAGTTATAGTTTCCTATAGGTGCAAACTCATATAATTAATTATCCCCCCCGATCATAAGAGAGAACTTTTGATTAAGGCTAGTCGTCGATGAATACGTCGTACATGTAGATGCGTGATATTTGACATATAGTAGCAACGTTGGTTGATATTTAAAATTTAAAATATCACCATCTTGCACTTAAAGCGGATGGTTGGGGGAGTGATGATGAGCCTGATCAAAATCCTATGGTTTCGTCATTCGGGTCATCGTGGTCCCTGTTGTCACGACCCGACCCAGGTTGCTCGAATTAACAAGGCGGGAACTGACGGTCGTACGGTAGTTACAAAAACTTTCATTTTAACATCAATAAGCTCAAATATTCATACAACTTCAAAATCTAAAAGAGTCACTAAACATCCATTTTAACCATGACTATTACATCAAAAATCAAAACAAACAATCTCTCATAAACATAAAACAAAACAAATACAATAGTCCACGACCCATAAACTAACACATGACATAACATAACCATAAGAACCTATTTCCTTGCACTGCTCTATGGTGTTATATAATAGGTCTATCAGCCATCAGTCTTTAGCAAGTTCCCCTAAAAAGTATTCCCACAAACAGGGATGAGCTAGTGTTCAATAGGTAATAAATATCTCTATTAAATTTATAAGGCAAGGAAATAAGAAACTTTATGCAATGAAATTTTCATATGACAAGACTGAAATAACTTTGAGAAAAAGTATTATAATGTCAAGAATTTATCTTAAGTATGTATAATCCATATATCATTTTGAATATCTATTTTTCTTTAATCATTACATACAACCATAACTTTTTTATTTTTCAATTTTCTTTTCTTAACTTTTCCTTTATTATTCTTATATGCATAGAAGCATATAATACTTAGTCTTAGTTTTATACATCAGTCCTGGAAGTACCAATTTTTTTATACTGATCAGGTAATATTTCATTTCATTTACTCTGAAGAGTCCTTTACCAATTGCTCCGATGAGCCCTTTAACATTTGCTCCGAAGAGCCATTTATCATTTAGAACTCCAGATCATCATACACATTCAATCATTCAATGCTTATCATAAGGTTATCAAACCATTCATGAATTCATATATTCTTGTCTAATATTGTTTCATGCTCATTCTATTGTATTGTTCTTATGAATTTTTACATGTTAACAATTAAATAAATCTAAAAGGGAACACATGCTTTCTGCATTATGAATTGTAAATAAATAACATGCAACTTTCAACTAAAAAAAATATTAAAGCATATGCAATTTTAACATTTAAAGAGAAAACTTATGAAATTAAAAGAGATATGAATACCTACCTCAAAACTCATCGTAAACCTTCTACGACGCCGCTTATGCTTGTGGTGTTCCTTTATAGCCAACACCTAAAATTAAATATACATGACAATATATATATATGACAAACATTAATACTAACTCCAATCATGATACCTCCTACATTTCCATTAAATCAAAAATTAAAATTTTATTTTCGGATTATAATAGTCCTTAATTTTTGAATTCTTAATTCTTGTAATTTCATTTCTCACATTTTCACCCTTTCTAATTCATTCAACTTGCTTAATTTAATTAAAAATAATTTTGAATTTCAGTTTTCCCTAAAAACCCTAATTTTTGGAAACATAAATCTCATTATTTTCATTATATTTTCATGTCAGAACATCCCCTTTATCAAATTTAATAATTAGAGTTTTCTATTTTCGGATTTCTTAAATCATAAAATTAGGAAAATACAAATTTTTTGAAAAATCCTAATTTCTACCTTTAAAAACCTTCCTAAGATTATTTGGAACAATAATCATTAAAGGGGTTTCTTAAAAATCCAAAAATATGAAAACCCTAATTTTCCAAACTCAAAATTTTTTTTGGGGAAACATGAAATTTAATGGCTAAAATTCTTTTCGAATCATCCCCTAACAATCTCCTAAAGAAATTTTAGGTTTTGGAGAAACCCTAGAAATTTCTCCTATAGAAATTTATGCAGAAATGAGGATTCTTAGGTTTAAAAACTTACCATTTCTCTTCCTTAAAACCTTCTCTTCGTTTTCCTCCAACACCTCGCCGAAAAATCGCTGCCGACGCCTTGCTCATGTTGCCTCCTCCCTTGTCCGTCACCCTTCTTGCCTTCGATCGAACGAAATGAGAAGGGACCGAATCCTTTCAATTCCTTATAGCATTGGCGGTTAGGGAGAAAAGCAAATGTCTTATTTACCCTTATTGTTTATTTTCAAATTCTAAATTTTTATAATTTTATTATAATAATTACTTAAATCATAAACATTTTATCTCGTTTATTATAAATGAGTTAGCTCATGAGCAGACTCAAATTCATAAAAATTAAGTTAAATTTTTAGCTAAAACTCAATTAATTAATCAAGTTTAAGCTTAAACTAGAAGTGACTCAAACTTTGGCTCTTTACACCCATGGCTCAAACAATAGTTTTAACCACCAGAAAAATGATGGTAGTAGTCCTAATGCTATAAATACTATGCTCTAGAAAGCCTTTCAATAGCAATTTTACAATTGCAATGGCCTGTTAAGAAGGTACGACTTGATGAAGTCGTCTTCCAAGCTCTAGTGAAGGCCCTAGCTTTCCTTTAGAAGTCTTTCTTCCTTGTGTAGTTGCCAAGCCGACTTTATAGGTACTAGTTGTTGGGGCCGACTATTAGGCCATACTCACCCGATTGGGACGAGTTCATGGATCATGGTCGCTTGCTTGAAGTAAATTCTCTTGTAAAGCAAGTCTCTTTTTCTGTTATTTTTTGAAATACCAACCATAATAAACTAAACATTTTTTCGCACTTCTGTTGTATTCAATATGTAGGATTTAATTTAGGATTGGAACTAGATTGGTGGTTTACTGTAAATTTTATCGACCAATGATGAGGAATATCATGACATCATGACGTGGTGTGGTGCTAGCGATGATGATCTATGTTTGGTGAACATTATTAACACCCCCCCCCACATCGCCCAGGCACAATTTCATGCTTGATGACTAAATTCTTAGCCTTAAATTAACTAATAATCTATTTGAACTCATCTCAAGTTAGTATTAGTTATAATTGTTAGCATACCCAATAAGCTATATGATCAGTCAACCAACGTATCATGCTCTGCTCCACTACCTACCGCAGGGAATCATTTCAACACATGGACACGTTTACTAATTGACAACTTAGCCAATTGCTTGCTCTGTCACCTAACGGTTTATCTCTATATGTACTCCCATGGCTGCACTGTAGAAACGATGGAATACAAGCTTCATACAACTCCATCTCATTTTACTTTCTCTGCTATCTCGTTTTCCCTGTTTATCTCTAACTTGCAGGTCGCTTCATGGTATCAGAGCATGATACGTTGGCTGACTGATCATATAGCTTATTGGGTATGCTAACAGTCCCCAAACGTCTGTATGAATAAGAGTAAATGGAGCCGAAGTTTTCATTTCATTAAGTGAAAATGGTAATTTGTGGCTTTTGGTTGCATTACATGAGTTACATAGAAAAGTAGAAGTACTAGAAAGACATATAGTCGGATTTCTGCTTGCTAAAAACTGAAGCAGTTGGAGGTGCGGGTGGCCTAGTTTTGCATGCCATAGTGAGGTAGAAGACTTGATAGTTTGTAGTGCAAAATTTGTTGGAGATGGAAGGATGTAAAGACCGTCCCTCGTCCGACCTTTAAGTATTGTTTGTGAAGTTGGGTTGTCCTTAATTGAGGATCCAAGAGAATCAAAGCAGATAGAACAATTATTGTCAGTTGCAAGTTTATGAATTGATAATAGGTTGTGTTTTAGAGCGGGAACATGAAGAAGGTTATGAAGATGTAGCTTACGGGAAGTATTGGGAAGAGGTAGGAGACCTTGACCACTGGAATGGATGGGAAGTGAAGTCCCATTGACAATGGAGATGCTGTCGCTGCCTTCATGCTGTTGGGAATTCTGCAGATTAGCGGCTTCGGAAGTCAGGTGAGACGAAGATCCTGAATCTAGGTACCATTCTGTGGTGGCACTGGATTGAGCTGTCGGTTGGGTGAGCAATGCCTGAGGTGAGGCAGATGGGGAGTAGTTTAGATTGCACCTGTGCCAGCTGCCGGTTGTCTCATATAGACTTCCTCATCAAGATTGCCATGAAGAAAGGCATTGGACACATCTAATTAAAGGACCGGCCAATTTCTCGTGAGAGCGACAGTAAGCAATATTCGAATTGTGGGAATTTTAGCTACTGGACTGAAGGTCTCTTTGTAATTAATGTCATACTCCTGCTTGAAGCCTTGAGCTACAAGCCGTGCTTTGTATCTATCAGCAAACTTTCGGTTCAGCAAGTCTGACCCATCACTTCTAATCTACAGCAACCGAGACACACAAATCTACGTTCTCATATACGTAGATGATATTCTTATCTATGGCAACAACCAACAGCAGATTCACTCCTTAGTCAGCAAGTTACAATCACAATTTTTCATCAAGGATCTTGGCCAGGATATTATTCAAGCAGCCAAGCTCAATATGCCCAGGATATTATTCAAGCAGCCAGATTCTCTCAATGCAAACCTGCTCCAACCCCAATCGCGGTCAAGACGTCCTCGGCAAGCTCCTTTACGTCAAATTTCAATCCAGCTTTATATCGCAAGATTGTAGGCTCCTTACAATATTTAACCATTACAAGAACAGACATTGCATTTGCTATAAATTTAGTTGTCAACACATGCATCAACCAACTGATCGAGCTCAGTTAATTCTTAAATGACTTCTTCGTTACATCAACGGCACGCTCAAGTGTGGTCTTCCCATTACTAAAGGGAATTTGCAGCTAACCTCATTCTCCGATTTTGACTGGGCATCAGATACATCCGATAGAAAATCCATCATGGGATATTGCACCTTTCTAGACAGCACACTGGTCTCACGGCGTGTGAAGAAACAACCAACTGTTGCAAAATCTTCTACTGAAGCTGAGTATCGCTCTCTCGCCTCAGCCACCTCTGACATTATATGGCTGCATCGTCTGCTAGCTGATTTCCAAGTCTCGGTCTCTTCTCCAACACCGATCTCATGTGACAACACATCTGCTCTTGCTTTGGCAAACAACCCGGTGTTTCACGCACGTACGAAACACATCGAAATAGATTATCATTTCATCCGGGATTGTATTCTCTCCAATGAAATATCAGTCCATCATATTAATTCTCTTGATCAACCGGCTGATCTTCTCACAAAACCGTTAACCACAAGCAGATTTCATCAACTATGCAACAAACTCACGATTCAATCTCATGAATCATGAGTTTGCGGGGGATTGTTAGCATACCCAATAAGCTATATGATCAGTCAGCCAACGTATCATGCTCTGCTCCACTACCTACCGCAGGGGATCATTTCAACACATGGACACGTTTACTAATTGACAACTTAGCCAATTGCTTGCCCCGTCACCTAACCGTTTATCTCTATATGTACTCCCATGGCTGCACTGTAGAAACGATGGAATACAAGCTTCATACAGCTCCATCTCATTTTACTTTCTCTGCTATCTCGTTTTCCCTGTTTATCTCTAACTTGCAGGTCGCTTCAATAATCAAATCTTGCTCAAGATTGAAAATTTTAGCTTGAGATAGATTAAGTTTATTTGTAGTTGGCTTTATCAAATCTCATTTTTTATTACTATCTAGTGCTGTTAAATGTATTCTATTTTATTTCGAGCAACTGCTTAGGTCTACACTTATTCTCTAATAGCCCTCCAACTTCAAGTCAAATCTGGTTTGATCTTTATGCAATTGATAGAAATTAACAAAACTTTGTTTGGGACGAATTTCTTACCACTGTTAAAGAAGTTTTTTAATACAAAAATTAAAGAAGCAGTAAAATTTTTATACTAAAAAGCTGCTTTAAGAAGCAGTTAGAAAACTGTCCCAAACGAAGCCTAAAACTAAACTTTGTAATTGAAATCAAAGACTCAGCTTTTTCAAATAATTAAAAGAGACTTTCTAATCCAACAAAACAAACTACATTTGAACAACTTTTAAAAGGTTGCTATATAATCTCTTACTAGCATGCAAGCTCATTTTTTCTATAAACAACATGAAATAATCTTTATATTTGCACATCCATCATCACTTTTATAGTGAATACACCTACATCTTGTTTGAAATATAGCTTTTGAACTTTGCTAAAAATTTTCTAAGATTTCGTTTGGGACAGCTTTCTTACAGCTTCTTAAAGCAGTTTTTTAGTACAAATGCACTTGAAAGCTGCTTTAAGCAACGGTAAGAAAGCCTCCCAAATTAAGCCTAAGTCTCTATTTAAACTATACGAATAGACGGCAAACTTTTTATACTTTGATTTATGTTTTCTTAAGATTTATAGCATGTTCATTATGTTGTCCATTTGGCGATATTTCTTCCATTATATCAGTGAAGTAAAGCTTCTTCTATAGCTTGCATGAAGCAGATGCTATATGCTTTGTAATATATCATTACAAAATGCAGACTCGATTCATTACAAAATGCAGACTCGATATTGAAGTTTTGTAATGATTTGTACAATTTGATTAATTGACAGACCAATGAGCAGTGCTGAGAAAGAACAGCTTGGCAGGCAGATGAAGAAACTGCCTGAAAAGGCATTTGATCGAGTAGTGGAAATAGTTCTACGCAACAAGCCTTCAGAAGCAGAACCCTCTGAAGTTTTTGTTGATTTGGAAACACAGGTCAATCTCTTAAATCAATTATATGCATTTTGCTTTCAAATGTAGTAGGAAATAAAATTGAGTGAGGATATTCTAGTCAAAATTTTATTGTGATGAGTTTTCACTTTTTAGATTCACTTTGAGATGAGTGAAATATCAGAGTAGATTGAATGCATAAAATACTCCACCGACTATTCATATGTGGCTATAGTTCTAAAGTATTACATTTCTCTAATATAGTCTCTTGACTAGACATAATTGGATCCCAAGATAGCCCTTAGGTAGCAATTGATGGAAATCGAGATACTAAATTGATCCTAATTTATTCCATCAAATGTACAAAACTGATTTCCGAGGGATAGTTTAGGATTGATTTTATATTGTCGAGGGATTAAATTGAGAAATGTGATACTTTGAAACTAAATTGATCATATATGAATAGTGTGGAGATTATTTTGAATTTTTTAAGATTAAAATGGTCACTCGACTATTTACTTTTGGTTGTTTTAGTCTTATGCTATCTATTGTGTCAAATTTATTCGCTTATCTTCTAAATCTGATCCAGTCCTTTGATTTCTTAAATTTGAGAGATTATTTTGGATTATATTCAAGGAACAAACGCACTAAGGCTTCGTTTGGTACAGCTTTCTTCTTGTTTCTTAAAGCTGTTTTCTAGTACAAAAATTTTAGAAGTTTTAAAAAGCAGCAAGAAAGTCATCCCAATCAAAACTTAAATTGAATACATTTATTGTTCGGATTAAAATAGCTCCATAAAAATAATCCAAGAACCAGTTTAACTTTTTTTTTAATACATTATACTCATTTTAGAAGAAATTTAAGTGTCTTAAAATCTACTAAACAAAATTTTCTCCTATCTAATATGCTTTTATTTTTTTCTCACAGGATAATGTTACTTTGTGGAGACTGTACTACTATGTTCAAACTGTGCTTGAAGCAAACAAGCAAAGCAACCGCAGTCCAATACCTTTCCCATTGATGTAAATGACTATTCCATACCTCTCTGCTGTTAGTTTTTTGTTCATTAATAAGCTGTAGAAGATTTTGGTTGTAATATGAATGGCTGGAGAAATGCTTCTGACTTGCTTTCTTTGGTGATTTTTTTTTTATAATTTTTTTTAAATGTTTTTTGTTGAACTGGTAGTATGATCATTTGTTTTGCATGCTTTGATCACCGGTTAAAAAAGGTGATGAAAATTTATTTCTTCCATTATTCTGGAATAACTTATTGTTGCAGCAGTAAGAGATCTTCCTCGAGGGTCTTGAACTTATACTATGTAGGCATTAACGGGGGTATCTACCCGCTGCCACCCTCTTAGGAGGTGCTTGGCGGCGTAGCTAATCCTCCGGCAAGCTGTACCTGTTAGGACCTGCAGTTATTTTCTCCTCACTTAAGGGATCCTGCCGCATAAGAGAGAAATCAAATATGGATTGAGGGGTTCCCAATCATGCTCGCCCAGCTAAGCCTGGTGGGGTAGTAAGAGTGTAATGATGGCTTTCTTAATGCTTTATAAAACAATTTTTTAAAATAAAAAATTTTAGTTGAAGAAATTTTTATATTAAAAAGCAATAAAAATTTTTATTAGAAGATATCAGAGTCCTTGAATTTGCTTTGAGATGAGAGTGCCAAATGCACAATCAATCAAGATTAATATTGTACTTATCTTAAAGCAAATTCGATAATTTTGAGACTCAGTGTTGATCATATTTTATTATAATATTTTCATTCATTTTGTTCTAAATAGTTAGGGCCGGTGTGGGATCACTTTTATTTTAATTTTTTTAAGATGTTTTTTTTTTTGTATTTTTTTTTTGCATATTTTTTATTATTTATTTATATTATAAAGAAAATGCTTTTCATATTATTGTCATAAAATATAAGTCAATTAAGGCTTTGTTTGTGACGGCTTTCTTATAATTTTGTAAAGTTATTGTAAAGAAAAATTATTTAAAAATGTTGTATGAAACATTTTTCTATTAAATTTTTTTTTGAAAGCAGGAAAAAGTAGTGGGCGAATATAGTCATCATTTGGCATATTTTTTATTATTTTTTGAAATAAATTTTTAGTAAAAAATTTTCTCGAACTATAAATTTTGTATGAAAAAATTGTTTTAGAAAATAGTAAGAAGCTTTCACAAATGAAAACTTCACTTATGACAGCTTTTTTATTGTTTTATAAAGCAGCTTTCTAGTACAAAGTTTTTTAATCTATAAAATTTTTGTTCAAAAAAATTGCTTTAAGAAGCGGTAAGAAAGCTCTCCCAAACAAAGTTGCGGTTTAAAAATCAAGCAGCAGTACCAAATGAAGCCTAAAACTTCTCATATTTTTAATTAGATGATTTTAACCTTTTTTTCAGCATGACTCTGCTGCTGTTATCCTCATGTTTTATTACTGAATATTATTCCAACTTAGCTGAAATAAGTCAAACGCAATTTTCTGAAATATTGTTTGATTCTGCGTTTCTGATGTTTAAGGTTCCTCCTGTCTTATTGATAGACAACAATGCAAAGGCTTATTAATTCTCCAGTAGCTGGCTCATTAACATATATTTAATCTTGATTTATTTCATATGGTGTCCATATATCCTCTATTTTCTAGAAGCTTCTTCATGATAAGGATATGAGGCAATAACAAATCACCAAAAATAAAAAACTTGACAAATAATAATAATAATATTATTATTATTTATTGATATTGCTAAGAAGAAATTTTAGGTGGAATGGTGGTGGTAGTCGTCGGTTGTCACTAACAGTAGTGGTGGAGGCAGCCGGTTGTGAGTATGGTGATGGCAGAGGCACCATGCCGACGATGGCCACAGTGTTTGGGGGTGGTGGTTGTTTTTGAAAATATTCAAAATTTCTGAAGTTGTTTTTGACTATTTTTATCAATAATTTGATTTTAAAAAATAAAAAAAAACACAATAAATAATTTTTTTAGAGAAAAATAATGAGACAAAATATGCAATTTGGTTTTTTGAGATTTTAAAGTGCATTCCTATAAAATGGTTCTGAAAGCAGCAATAAACTAATATAAACAAGTTTTTCATGATGTCATGCACCTACAATTAAGCTAAGTCATCATTTCATCAACATGAATCTTGAGATAATATTTAAATTATAAATTTTCAAAAATGAATTCTTTACCATCTGAATTTTGATTTCAACAAATTTATATTTGAGTTGAACATCTCAATGAGATGTATCTATTGATGCTACAAGTGTTTTGATCATTCTTCAAATGTGCTCAACTCAATCACTTGAAACATACTTGGATTCTTTAGAATAAGAGAAATTTAATAAGCCCATGATAATCCAATTCATACTTTATTAAGACACTCAAATAATGAATATACATTATTATAGCGTTCTGGAATATTTGCGGTGGTAGAGAAATATGAAGTTTAACATCTTAGAATTGTACGAAGATCCAGTACATAAGCATATAAGAGAGGGTGTAACAGTCATAAGAGGCACCGGTTTTTACATGGAAACCCCTAAGAAGGGTGAAAAACCACGGGCCCTGGCCTAGTTTGAATGAATCCACTAGTATTTGCAGTCAATTACAAATAAGGCCCTTCCTTGGAAGAATATCTTTGCTTGATGTCACAAATGTACATCATATAAAGCACATTACATGGTGGGTGTTACAATAATCAACATAGACATGTTTGTTTGGTCAGCAGGATCATAGTCGATAGGATAGAGGTGAGAAAGATCATAGTAGGCAGTAGACTAGTGTCAGAAAGATCATTGTTTGGAGATGGAAGTCGAAAGGACCGTAGTAGGTGACGGAGGTCGGAAGGACCATAGTTGGCAGGAGATAGGGGTCTAGAAGACTGTAGTTGGTAGGTAACCGGGGTCAAAAAGTCCATTGTCTGGTGATGGAGGTAAAAAAAAAAAAGTCGGCAAGAGATCAGGGTCAAAAAATTGTTGTCTGGTGATGGACGTTGGAAGGATCGTAGTAGACCACGGAGGTCGGAAGGATTATAGTCAGCATAAGAAAAGGGTCCTAAAGATCATGATTGTAGGGTAGTACTCTGGGCATTAGGTGGCGGCCCGGTAGAAGTTTGGGTCTTAAGTGGTGGTCTGATAGAAGTTCGAGCCTCAGGTGGCTGTCCAGCAGAAGTTCGGGCCTCAGGTGGTGGTCTAACAGAAGTCCAGGCATCAGGTGGTGGTCCGGTAGAAGTTCAGGCCTTATAGAAGTCCGGGTCTGAGGTGGTGGTCCAACAGAAGTCCTAGCTTGAGGTGGTGGTCCGGTAGAAGTCCAGGCCTGAGGTGGTGGTCCGGCAAAAGTCTGAGCCTCAAGTGGTGATTTTGCAGAAGTTTGGGCCCAAGTGGCGGTCCGACAGAACTCCGAGTGTTAGGTGATGGTCCGGCAAAACTCCGGGTGTTAGGTGGTGGTCCCGCAGAAGTCCAGGCCTCAGGTGATGGTCTAGTACGTAGAAGTCCGGGCCTCAGGTGATGGTCCAACAGAAGTCCGGGCCTCAGATGATGGTCCGACAAAACTCCATGAGTTAGGTGGTGGTCCGGCAGAACTCCGGCCATCAAGTGGTGGTCCGATGGAACTCAGGGCCTCAAGTGGTGGTATGACGGAACTCCAGGCAATGGTCGAGGAGGAGCAAGGAGGTAAGAGTGATCTTCGATCTCTCTCTTGCTTGGAGCCCCCCTTTCAAGAGGGAGAAGGGGTCTATTATTTATAGATTTCCTAGAGTGACATGGCCTGTAAATAGGAGGAAAATCAAGGGTAAATAGGGATTGGTTTGGATGGACAGCCGATGTTGAATCTCTTGATCGTGAACCGTTCGTCAGACATTTGAAGGTATTAATGATATCAGAATTCTGCGAACTTGGGCTCGTTGGATTCATCTCGTCGAGCCACTCGATTCAACTATAAACATGTCATGTTCGAAACCCATTTGATAATCCAAATTGTGGTTTGGACCTTTCAACAGTGCTTCAGGTCCTCGAATCAGACCCATATGGGCTCGTTTTAAGTTGAATTTGGTGTCGTTGGTTTCATATTTTTGAGACGTTCAATTTGACTATAAGTTTGTTGAAATCAGAGTTTGGATGGCCCCAATTTTAATTTTGGAAGTTTCCAACTTTTTTTGCCTTGAGATTCGGGCCCAATCAAGATAATTTTTTGTTGATGTATCAATTATACATTCAAGATGAGCAATATTAATCATTTGATGAAGTGTTTTGGATTCAGACCAAATTTATCAAAACGCCCCTGTCAAAAAGCTATAAATTTGGCTTTATTTTTTTTCTCAAGGAATTCGAGAGCTAAGAGAATTAAAAAACTCTATCGCATTTTTAGACGAATGACTACCATCATCAATATTTGCCACTATTGTCAAACTTCCATCATCCAACTATTATCGTTTGACTAAATATTAACATCTAACCTTGTTGTCGAATTTTAATTATCTTCTTGTGGACATCTAATTTCTATAATTCTTATGAGGAAAATAAGATAATTGCACTCAATTATATATGATCCAATAGCTTCTTCATTGCTGGAGAAGAGTGAATCCTTGTACCTACAGTTATATAGTGAATTATTACAATTAAGTCAAGTCCCGTGATTTTTCTCTTTCATAGAATTTTCTAGTATCTCTTACAAACTTCTATGTATACTAGATATTTCGATAAAGTTAAGATAGTAAATACTCTACCGCCATGAATTTTCTAGCACCTAACAAATATTCATAAGAAATAGATGATGAAAAGACTATATGATTAGCTTTACTCTCAATTTTCCTGCACTAAATCTGTATTTTAATGTGTTGGACTGACTGAATATAAGAGAGAGAGACAGAGAGAGAGACCTAATACTACCAAAAGAAAAACCTAATACCAATTTAAAAAAAAAGCCCAGACCTCTTAATCTCATCACATGTGGAGGGTTCCATGCATTAATTAAAGGGGCATGAATTATTGGGTGGCCTTTGTTCATTATTAGTACTATTTTTCAAATCCATTGACTTTTTAACGTTTTATATGGCCACCATCTCCCCTTTACAAATGGCAATAGGAAAGGAGAGGATGCTTCATTTTTTAATTAGATGTTAAGTATCAGTATTAGTCCAAATTACAGTGATTAGGATAATAGGTTTCCAAAATTCAGGTTGAAGATTTATGTAAAATAATATTCGTTTTCCCTTAATTAGTTTGCTATTGGTGTGGGTCAGGTAAACTTAAATGCTTCATTAGTAGAGATCCATATGCATTATTTGTGTGATGATCTTCATCTTTCTGAATTTTAATCTCACTGGAATTTCGTGGAGAAATTTTCATCCGAAATCCATCAGAAATTGTATAATATCTTTTTGCCATTGGCATCACTGAGTCTTAGAACGTATTAAGAGCATATCCAACTGAACTCCAAATGCTTGAATGACGTTCCTCGTCAGCTCCAGCCGAACGGTTAAACTTCCGTTATTTGGCTGTGGGTGAACAGTGGAACGCCAATATGGACATTGCACTATTCATCTCCGTCATTTTTATGTCTCTACCGAACTTGTCACGCGAAAGAAGAGACGACCATTACCTGCAAAAGTGGAAAAAATAGAGTTCGATTGGAGATGAATCACGACATTTTTTAGTTTCACGGCATTTTAGAGTGAAAAATGAGATTTTCGGTTGGAGGTGCTCTAAGCCGTCTTTTGCCCCGTGAGAGTGTCGCCACACTTTAGGGACTATTTTTAGCTGGATTTTTTCGATTCTTCCGTGACCTATCTAGGAGCATGAGATAAATTAATCTTTTGAACAAGAGATGAATTAATGAAAAAACCAATGCAACAATTTCTTTAAACTTAGTTAAATCAAGCATTTTTCTTATAATGCCACCTTTGATGCATGCTTATAGATTCTGCTGCAATGTCCAAGACATTAGCTGACACAAAAAGACAAACATGGCTCCAATTTCAAATTTTCTTGATTTTAACTAACTCCAATACTAAAGCTTCGTTTGAGACGGCTTTCTTACTGCTTCTTAAAGCTACTTTCTAGTAAAAAATTAAATTTAAATATCTTTCGAGGGCTTCGGCCCGAAAATTCCCAGAAAGGTGGCTCTTAGTCTCATTTCTATCCCCATAATGACCATGAAGGTTTGCTTCAAACTACTAGTTCAAACCTCACTCTCACACCTATAAATAGAACCCTTTCCTCTGAAGCCATTCACACTTGAAAGCCAAAACCAATTGATCAAAAAGCTTTACTTTTTTTCTTTCAGAGATCCATCTGCAGAGAACAATGGTTGCAGGATCCTTCACCCGAGAGAATGTGACAAAAATTTCGCTTGATAGAGTATGGAAAGCAGGTGTTCTTGATGCTCATAATTTGATCCCAAAGCTTCTATCTGATTTCATCTCAAGTGTCGAGCTTCTTGAAGGAGAAGGTGGACTTGGCACTGTCAAAAAGACCAATTTCACTGAAGGTTTGCTTCATTTTTTATCCAAACCAGAAGTAAATTTGCAAGAAAATTCTATCTGAAAGTTGTAAATAAATTATTCTGAAACTAAACTTCAACAAATCCTACAATTCATTGCAGCTGTGAAGGAATTTCGCTTTGTTACAGACAAGATTGAGTTGCTAGACACTGAGAACCACATAGTAAAGCAGTCTGTCATTGATGGAGGGCTTATTGGCCAAAGGCTAAAATCATACTCATTTGAAATGAAATTTGAAGTAGTAAACAGTTCTGAAACTTTGGGAAAGATCACATTAGAATATGACACCATAGATGACACTCCTCTTAGTGATGAAGAGCAGGAAGAAATCATGAAAGGCTTGTTTCTGATTATAAAGGCTATTGAAGGATATCTGATTGAAAATCCAACTTCTTATGCCTAAATTTATAGCCCATCTGTTGAGGCTAATCTTATTCAGTGCTTGTTTGTGGCTTGTTGTGGTGATAAGAGAGAGTTTCTTGTTTCTTTAAAATGTTAAGAGGAGTGAGTATCTTACTATCTTGTGCTATTTGAAGAGAGGAAGATGTGTTTCTTGTGTTATTTTTCCTCTTCTGTTTGTCTCCAAATGTTTGCTGATGAATAAAGGTTGAAGTTATGATGTTTATTCCAAAGAAGATAGTTTTATCAAATTATTTATTGAGTCTATATTTCTACTATATGATATGCTTTAAAAAAACATGAACAGATCATAATATTAACAAGCCAAACTGTTTATTGTCTTCTGTTAGTCCATAAATATGAGAGCAACAAAGATTGATAGAGTAATACATAGAATAAAAGAAATAAGAGGGTTTATGTTTTGTGTTTGTCTAAAACAAATGATGCTCACAGATGAAATAGACAATTCAGTTCAGGCATCTTCAGTTGTTGAGATAATTTGAAAATTAAGTATCAAACAATCTTATAATAATTAATACTTCGTTTGGGGAGACTTTCTTACACAACAGGAATATCATTTATTACCGGTGGAATTTTCCAGTGAAATTCCGACAGACAATTTTCTGATGGTATATGATGAAACGGCCTTTCCAGCAGTTTTTTCGTTACTTTTATTGCCACCGGCATTTTCTGGCTGCCTTTTCGGTAGCTTTTAAATAATTTGTAATTTTAATACTTTATTTTAATTCATTTTTAATTATTAATTTTCATTTTAAATTAATTATACATTTTAATTCTCATTTTAAACTTGATTATTAATTTTACTTATTTTTTTTTACTTTAAAACTTTATTTTAATTAAGTAGTAATTCAAATAACTTATTATTTATTTTAATATTTTAGTTTAATTATTTTTAATTTTAAATTTCATATAATTATAGTTTACATATAAAAAGAAAAGTTTCTTAATGTATTTTCCTTCTTAGCAAAATGGTTGAGTATTTGAATTTTCAGCGGGAGAAGTTCGAATCCCACGGTAGGCATTTCACGGGTAGCGGACAGGCAGTCGGTTAGGAAGGGAAGGCCACTGGGCAACGGGCGGGCGGGCAGCTCTGGGGTAGTGCGGAAAGCCGGGCAAGGTAGCGGTCAAGCAATGTGGGGAGGGCAGCGGGCGGCTTTTTTTAATTTTTTTTTAAATTTTTCCAACGGCCTAATACCGCCTGATAGACATCATAAATATATTTCGCCAGGAAAATTTTTCCTACGCAGGTTTTACTGACGTAAAATTTTCCGTCAGAAAGCCACCGTTCAATTCACAATTTGCCGGAAAATGATCAATTTCCGCTAGAAAATGCCGTCGGTGATAGATGATTTTCCTATAATGTTAATGCTTCTTAAAAGTTAAAACAACTTTCTAGTTAAAAAAATAAAATTTTTTTATTAAAAATTACTTTAAAAAGCAGTAAGAAAGCCATCCCAAATGAAACCTAATTGTCAAAATTTCGTGTTTTTGATCTTTACACTGGAAAAGAGACTTTGTATAGAGAGTAAATGTTTGATGTGCATTACATCTACCACCTTTCTATGTGTATTTAGAAAGAGAGAAAGAGATGAACTAAGGAGGGCAATAATAATAAAATCCATCATCATCTAGGCTCATGTGATTAATAAGTCAAAAACCAAATAAAATAATAGAATTCATCTTTTTTGACCATTCAAGTTTTTCATGTGACATTTGGCAGAGCATGAATAGATGTTCTTAAATTATTAGCATCCTTAGCAAACAATTTTGACTTGCTCATCATTTCAAGATTTATAATATTATTTATAAAGCTACAAATCTTATGTAATAAATTGATATGATGAACCTATAATATGTACAATAATAGACCAAGAATTTGAAGCCAAAGAAGTAACTTAGTACTCCTTTTATAATAGCCAAAATATAGAACAATTAAATACAAAAATACTCTAAAAAAAGCTCTCCTTAGAACAAAACCAACCCTCTTTATTATCACATAAGATTTTTAAGCATGGGTTACAGGTTTGACTACTACAGAAGGTATTCTTCCACTGTCTTGACGCTCTTAATGAAACCTTTCTTGGCTTACTTGATGTCCTTAGCAACATATATCAACACCAACGAGAGCCTTATAAGCAGAGCCCTACATGGGATCCTGGTTGGGTACCCACGCTCTACGCGGGCGTGCTTCGCCCACCCATGGTAAATTTCGGGATGTCGTAACCCACCCATTCCCACCCACTTTACACTCTTTTTGAATGCAATCTGCCACGGATTGATAACCTTGAGGCTTGTTGTCCTTTGCTATGACTGTTAACTTTCAAGCCGCATATTAGAGTTTACCATGGTCGTAACGCGGTTTAGTGATGCATACTGCATAGTGAAGATTGCGGTAATATACAGAATACAGTGATTAGTAATGTAAATTGATTTATCACCCGATATTGAGTCCCCAATCACGAGGCCTTGGATGTATCCAGACCCTGGGGCAGCTTAACAATGGAGCCATTCCCATTGGTTCGACTTTGAAATGTACATTTGTGTACATGTGGAGGTAGGGATTTGGTCAACAAGATCAATCACAAATATTTGTGTAGATTTACAATATTCAACTTTCAATTAATTGGTATAGTGAGTACATATTATTTAATCATATTATTACCCAAAAAAAAAATATATTGATGTACAAAATGAGTATTAGAATGTGTACTATGGTATTATACTTGATCCTAGTTGGCATGGTAATCCACATATAATAACTTTGTGTTTGTTCAAATCCTCTCTCAAGTAATTTTCTTTAAAGTTCAATATTCTTCTTATCTTTGGTCTATCAAAAGGATGTAAGAAAAAAGCATAAAATTAGATTATATGATCTAATTTGGTTTTATTTGAGACAATTTTTTTACTGTTTTGTAATGTTGTTATAAAGAAAATAATTTTTTAAAACTGTTATCGAAAGTAGCTTTTTAGTACAATTTTTTTTTAAAAACAACGAAAAACAGCTGTGGCCTAAGAGACCTTGCAGTTGTGATCTAAAAAGCAAAGTAATATGAAAGTTGTCTCAAACGAAGATCTAGGCTTTGTTTGGAACAGCTTTCTTACTGTTTCTTAAAACAACTTTTTACTACAAAAATTAAATTTTTATGCTAGAAAACTATTTTAAGAAGCAGTAAAAAAGCCATCCCAAGCGAAGCCTTAATAAAAAGGTATATATACATGAACCAAAATTCCTTCAGATTATTGGGCTAAGAAATAGCATTGGAAGGTTAGGGAGAAAGAAGAGAGGTGCAAACCTGGATTATTCCAGCCAATGAACGTGGCCTAAAAGATAGCAGCAGCTGGGACTTACAGACTCCGCCTCTACTGTTCAGCTTGAACTCATCTTTCCAACGTAATTTACTACTCTTCCTTATTTTGGCTTGCTTGATTTTTCGTTCAGCCGATCAAATGGGTCTTAATGGCGAGTAATCTTGTCAGGATTTGGCATTTTGTCTTCAAAGGTAGGCAGCATGATTGAATGATTCAGTGATTGATTGAAGTGTATGAATAAGCAAAATAGGAGCATGTGTTGTGGAAGATGATCCAAATTTCTGACCTAACTTAGCACTTGTGTGGGATAGCTGCAGCTTTTTATAAAGTTGGTCGTAAATTTGCTATACAAAAGATAAGTTTATTATTATTGTTGTAGAAAAGTAGCTTTCCACTATAGAAATTTCTAAGTAGTGAAAAGACAATGAAAAGCAGCACTCAAATAAGGCATCGTTTGGGATGGCTTTCTTACTGCTTCTTAAAATAGCTTTTTAGTACAAAAATTTAAATTTTTGTATTAAAAAGTTATTTTAAGAAGCATTAAGAAAGCCGTCCCAAACGAAGCCTAAGATTATGATTGCTATCTGAAATGCTAAGAAGCCAGAAAGATGTCCCAAACAAATCATCCTTAGTTATATCATGATGAAAATAGAGAACAGTGTTGTTAATATAAAGTGTATCTATGTTGAAAGTGGGAGCTCTTGACCTGGAAGATAGTCCAAAATTCTAGACTTACTGATCATTATCATTATTTTTTCTTAAGCTGGAAAGAGATGGATCACCTCTTCTGATCCATAGAAATAGAGAACACTGTAATATATTTTACAATATAGAAGTTGCAGCTTAGATTAAAAAAATTTGTGATATATGAATAATTTTAGATCTAAAATTACATCAAAATTTCTGCTGAATTACATAGAATTTTAGGTAGCAAATAAAAGTGCTTAAATAAACTTAATAATTATATAATGATCATAATTTTTAATGTATTAAATAAAATAAAAAATATATTCTGGTTAAGAAAAACATAGATGTATTTATAAAAACTATGAAAGTTGTAAGAAAATTTTTATGCAATATAAGATGATTATGCATGCTTAATTAATACAAATAAGCATGATAACATATAAATAGTACAAACTTATTGATATAATTATTAAACTTGTGCTCATATAAACTTTACAATAATATTAATATTTAGTTCTGAAATCAAAAAATAATTAATACAAATAATAAAGATCAATAAATTAGATAAATATAAAATTTGTCCAAATAAATTCACAAAAAAGTATAGATAAATTCATAATAATATTAAGAACATAATTAAGATCAATTTTTTATCTAAAATAAAATTTATTTCCACCCCCACAACGGATAAACCACAAAATAAAACGATGAAAAACAAAAGCAACTCTCATAATACCTCTCCTTATAACATAAATCAACCCTCTTTATTAGCACATTACAATTTGAAGCACTTTCACTCAAGCAAATATAAGGATTTTAAGCATAGGCTCCAGGGTTGGCTACAAGGTGTTCTTCCACTGCCTTGACGCTATTGATGAAACCTTCCTTAGCCTTCTTGACATCCTCTGCAACATCAACACCAGCAATGGCTTTATATGTTGCTGACACCTTCACAATAGAGCCATTTCCCTTTGGCTCAACCTTGATGTGTGAAGTTGCAGACTCAATCTTGCTGCCCAAATCTCCACCCTCCACAACAGAAGTCTTTAGCTCAAGCTTTTCATGGTCGATGAAATCAAGACGTTCCTTAATAAAGCCAAAAGGCACCGCTGCATAAAAACTCAATGTAATAAGTGCCTATTTGGGATACTTTTTTTAAAAAAAAGAGAAGAGATTGAGTTGCGAACCTGG